AAAAAAAAAAAAAAAAAAAAAAAAAAAGAGGATAAAAGAAGTGAAAGTGCAGGACGACGGTTAAAGTATAAAAGTTCGAAATATGCGTCTAATAATAATAAATTGTGAATGAATGAAATCCGTCATAATAATAATAATAATAATAATAATAATAATAATAAACGTTTTTAAGTATGATTCAAAGAAAATATTATTATTATTATTGCTTACGAATGTCAAAAGAATTTAAATGCGTATTATAACGCGCGGATTCGAGTCGGTCGAAATCGAAAACTCGAAAGAGTTCAAAAACCTTTTTGACGATATTTGGAAGTTTTTTTTTTTAAAAAAAGAAAGAGAGAAAGAAAAGGAAAGGAAAGAAAGAGAGAGAGAGAAAAGAACTTCCGGATGTGGATCGACGTTGGCGTTTTTTTTTTTTTTTTGATTCGAAAAAAGTTTTCTCTCTTTCTCTCTCCCTCTCTCTCTGTCTTTGTCTGTCTGTCTATCTTTCTCTCTCTCTCTCTCTCTTTGTCTGTCTATCTTTCTCTCTCTCTCTCTCTCTCTCTCTCTTTGTCTGTCTATCTTTCTCTCTCTCTCTCTTTTCTTCCATTAAAATTTTTACGCGCGCGTTCGAAAACGTTGCGTGTGTCGTACGTACGCGTTCAATTATTATTATTATTATTGTGCTTTTCTACAATTGCCAAGTAAACGTGCGTAAGTGCGTCGTCGGGGCATAACAAAGAAAGAGAGAGGGAGAGAGAGAAAAAGCTCGAAACGACGACGAAAAGAATTAAACGGAAAAGAAACGCGGATATCTGCAGTCTGTGAAAGCCTAAACGCAAGCATAAAAAACCGCCTACAGCTTTTTAAAGTATCGAAGTTAATGACACGGCCAAGGTTTTTTTCTTTTTTTCTTTTTTTTTTTTGTAACTATAATCTACACGGCGGAAAAGACGAAGGAAAAAAAAAAGCATAGAGTAAATAATTTAATGGGGGGAAGGGGAGTGGGGAAAGGGAATTTTTTTTTTACCATTTTTAACCACGTTTAACGTGTCGCGCTCGAGCTTTTTCTTTTCTTTTTTTTTTTTTTTTTTTTTGTTGTTGTTTTCTTGATTATTCCTTTTTTATTTTCCCCCTCCCCTCATTCTCCCGTATCCCCATGCTTTTCCACAATTTTCCCCGATTTCGAACACAATTCAAAAAGCGAGAATTTTTTTTTTTTTTTTTTATATGCACACGCATAGAAAATTCGCTTTTTTTTTTTTTTGATTTATTTACGAGTCGGTTGCCATTTTTAGTTTGAACTTAACTTAACTTTTTTTTTTTTTTTTTTATTACCTGAATTTTATTACTCTGTGGTGATGTGCCACATAAAAAAAAAAAAAATCGTCTTGTCGCCTACTACAAAATTTTTTTTTTTTTTATTTTTTCTCTCTTTCGAATAACTGGCGAGAGTTTTGTCGTCGTAATAACGTTAAAAATAAAAATTGAAAAGATGGAATCTCAAAAGGTTTTCCCCTTCCTTTCCCTTCCCCTCCCACTCCTCGCTCCCCCTCCATCTGTTTTTTGACTACGAAATTTTCCGGGGGGGAAATCGGAGAAGAGATATACTAAAATTTTTTTTTTCTTTTTTTTTTTTAATTACGAACTCGTAACCGAATCGTTAATTATTATTATTATCATTATTATTATTATTATTATTTCGGCGTGGTGTAAATATAAGGAGAAAGGAAATGACGTAGCACCTGGGTTTTTTTAAATATGAGAACCAGGTGCGACGGATTTGACGGATTTTTTTTTTTTTTTTTTTTTCATAACAAAACTAAAAAAAAGAATCGTTTACAACGAGGGGGACAAGAATAAAAAGGTTCGGATTTGAGTGAGAGAGAGAGAGAGAGAAAGAGAGAGAAAAGATGATTGTGCGAATAAGAAAACCGTAAGGTTTTTTACCTTAACAAATCAGGATCTTTCAAAAAAAAAAAAAAAAAAAAGGTTTAAAATTTGTCCACATGATTGAACGTGTCGTGCGCAAAAAATATTTTATGTAACGGAAAGAGAGAGAGAGAGAAAAAGAGAGAAAGAGAAAGAGAGGAGTACTCTAAGGTCATTCGTTGTTCTTTTTTGGCAGGAGAACCTGAAAAAAGTGTGTTTTACGTCGTGCGTGCGTGCGTGCGTGCGTGTGCGTGTGTGTGTGTGTGTTTGTGTGTGTGTCTATACCTGAATCACGAACCTGCACTCGAAAAACAATCAAAACGATATATATATATATATATATATTTTTTTTTCTTATGGTTATTACCGGTTGATTGGTTGTTGTTTGTTGTTGTTTTTTAAATTTATTTTCGTTTGGTTTTTCGTCCCGGTGGTGTAGTAGTAGTATTAGTAGACGTCCTTGTTAAGGACTTTTTAAGTGTAGGAATATTTGAAAAGTTGCCGAAGGAAGTTTATGCGAAGGAGGAAATGAAGAAGAATAAGAAGAACGATGATGATGAGGAGAGAAGGCGGTGGTGGCGACGGTGTCGGTGGCGGCAGCGAAAAATATATAATTTCTTAACTTTTTTGTTTTTTTTTTTCTTTTTTCTCGGCCATGTTTTCCGGTGTGTAAGTCGTCTTTATATCTTTGTTTTCAAAGAACAATTCTGGGAACTTTTATTATTATTATTATTATTATTACTATTTTTCCGTTTTCGTTATTATTATTATTATTATTATTATTATTATTATTATTATTATTATTATTATCTGTGAATTCAATGAAACTTTCTTTTGAGTTAACAAATCGGAGTTAAGAATTATATATATGTATATAAATTTTTTTTTTTTTTTTTTTTATAAAAAAAATCATTTGTAGGGTCGGGAGTAGGTAAAAAAAAGAGAGAAACGAGCAGTGACGAAATAAGGTGGTTTTTGCATAACATGAAATCGTTCCATGTTTGGAATCAACCTGCGTTCGAACTTTGTGCTTTTTTTTCAATTTCGGGGTCAACTTTTTCTCTTCATTCGGGGAATGAATGACCTTTAAATGAAACATGGCCGACGCCGTTGTTTTGTTTCGTTTTGTTGGTTTTTCGACGGAGTAAGTTGGTCGATTATTGGTAATTATCGAGTTTTGATTTCGATTTCAATGGAGGAAAAAAAAAAAAAAAGTATGGCAGTTGTTATTTGTGGATACGAATGATGATAATTTACCGGAAAGAGAAAATTAATTAACGAATTAAAAAGCAATCAACCGTTTAATTAACAAGACTGACCTACCTGACTGAACCTGAATTTGTTTTCTTTTAAAAAAACTCATCTTTAAAACTCGCTTTTTACCACTCGTGTTTGACCCAAAAATTTTTGCGGTTAAAAAAAAAAGAAAACGGTTTGCGAAAAAGAATGAAAGAAAGAAACGCGCAACAACGACAACAACAACAAACAACAAACGATGCGAAAAAGTGTTTCGCGTTCCTCGTTCGTGACGGGTGACACAACCCGTGAGGAGGCCACACGGCGGTGCGCGAAAGTTTTAAAAAAAAAAAAAAAAGTGGCAGAAGAACATGTAAAAAAAAAAAAAAAGAAAAAATGAAGGGAATCGAAGAAGAATTTTTCTTATTATTATTATTATTATTTATTTATTTATTTATTTAAAATAATAATAATAATAATAATAATAATAATAATAATAATAATAATAAAATAAAATCAGAAAACGAATAAATAAATATTTAAGTGAGTTTTAAGTAGAAACTCGTTTGGGTCAGTATCGGTGCGTGACCGCTTTTCTCTCTCTCTCTCTCTCTCTCTCTATTTTTCTCATATTCTTTCTCTCTTTCTTTCTCTCTCTTTCCTAATGATCCTACAAGTAGAAAAATATATATATTTATTGCACGCACACACACACACACACACACTTCTCGACTCGTATTTATTAATTTCTCAGTAAATGCACTCGGTTGGCGTTACGTTTTGGGTTCGGTTTTTTTTTTTTTTTGTTACGGGATAAGAGATTAATGTGTCCCGACTCTCGAAAACAGGGAACCGGGAACCCGAGTAGGGAGGGAGGAAGGGAGGCGAAAATCTACTGGGAGAAAAACTCGCGAATTTTTTAACGAGATGAGTTTTCGGTAGGTGATCCTCTTTTTATTATATTCCCCCTCCCCGCCCCCTCCCCCGGTTTCCAATTCGCATGGAGAACAACAATGAAGTCGACCGTAGTAATGATCGTTGTAATGATGATGATGATAATAATAAATTCATTTCGTTACGTTTAATCGGGTTAATAATATAGAAATTAAATCGAACCCAAAAACACACTTTGCGAATTAACGCATAACGACCGACCCTCCTCCTCCTCCTTCACGGTGTGTCCGTGTGCGTGTACGTGTGCGTGTGCGTGTTCGTGTGAAAATCAATTCGCTTAACCGAAACCTTTGAAATCATATTTGATGAAGGTAAAAAAAAAAATTTTGCGAGATTGGAGAAAAGAGACCCTCGTCACAATCCGAAATAACTCAATTAAATTTTTTCATCGTTTTCATTATTATTATCATCATTATTATTAACGTTATAATCGTTGGTTGTTTTTATTATCATTAAAATTTTCCATCTTTGAAGAACATTTTTGTTTTTATATGCAAATAAAGAGAGAGGGAGAGAGAAAAAGAGAGAGTGAGAGAGAGAGGGAAAGGAATAAAGATTGAATATCATCACGACAAAAGTCATCAATGTCGTCGCCGCCATTAAAATTAATTTTAATTTTTTTTTTTTTTTTTTTTTCTAATTTCAGGCACGGAGCAGTTTGCGAGCATGAGAGATTTGTACATTAAAAATGGACAAGGTTTTGTCGTTGTATATAGTCTCACGAATCACCAAACCTTTCAAGATATAAAAACAATGAAGGAATTAATAACGAGGGTTAAAGGAACGGAACGAGTGCCCATACTTTTAGTCGCCAATAAAGTAGACTTGGAACATCAAAGGGAGGTGAGTGCGTGACACTTTTTCTTTCTTTTTCGTCCGCGGTGGGTGGTCCCACCGTGGGGAGAGAGGGCGTGGGCATGGGGAGGAAAATATGGTGATATTGACAAACCGGCGAAATTTTTTAAAGAAAGTCTCGATAATTTGCTAATTATCGAGGAGTGAGAGAGAGAGAGAGAGAGAGAGTCGGAAAACAATTTCACCTTTTGACCCGGTTGTAAATTATTATTATTATTATTATCATTAATTTTCCAATTAATAGATTTACATTTAAAACTTTGGGAATGGGGGGGGGGGAAAATAATTAATAAAAGAGGGAAAGCGAAACAAAAGAAGGAAAAGATTATTAAAAAATAAAACGTAGGTCTTACCTGTCGCTTTCCTTTTTCTTGTTTTTCTCCTCCTCCCACCTCCCGCCCCCCTTTCCGAATGAAATCAGCGACGAGAGGATGAGAGGAGGATGACGACGATGGAGGAGGGGCTGAAAAAGAGAAAAGAAAAGAAAAATTAATAATTTTCAAATTTGCTGCTTCATTTCGGGAACAGGACATTCTCAGGTCGTTGGTTTTGTTGATGATGATGCTGTTGCTGTTGCTGCTAGCTTCTGTCGTTTTCTCTCTTTTCCTCCACCCTTCCTTTCCCTTCCCTTCCCTTCCCGTTCACCCTTTCGATGGATAAAAATTAATTAAGGGAAATTTTTATTTCTTAAAAAAAAATCAAAGTTTTTCATCGGTTTTTCGATATTCGAATTGTATTTTTTTTTTTTTTTTTTTTTAATTAATGTTTATTTACTCTGTGAAAAAGAATTGTAAGAAGAAAAAGGATAAGGAGACTGATGAGGGGGAAGGGGAAGGGAGAAGGGGGAAAAATAAAGAAAAGAAAATCGATAACCTTTTTCTCTCTCTCTCTTTTTTTCCTTTTTGTTTCCTCGAGGGTAAAAAAAAAAAAAAAAAAAAAAAAAAAATTTCAAAAAAGCGTTACGTAAGTATGATAAAAAAAAGTGAAAGAGAGAGAGAGAGAGAAAGAGAAAGAGAAAGAGAGAGGAAGAAAAATACATATGTATGTGTTTGTACACATAATAATAATAAAATCACTTGACCCCCAGGGTGTAGGACGTACGGCCTACCTGAATAAAAAGGAATAGTCGTCTCCTTGTCTCCTGCCCATTTTTTTTTTTTTATTTCGGTGTCACGTGGTTCAATAACGGGCCTACGAGGTTGTAAAAAAAATGTCACGGGGTGGTTGAGTATTGGGTCGGATACGGAAGTTGTAAAAGACTCGGCGATTGGCGGCAAAGTACCGCCGGAATATACGATTCAAACGGCGATAATCGCTGTTGAAATTTTTTATAATCGTTTAAAAAAAAAAAAAAAAGGGAAAGTGGAAATTTTTCTTTTTTTTTTTCTCGCACGTAACGGAAAGTTCAGACCCCGTCGTCCGTCGGATGATTAGTCTTCACTCTCACACCTCGGGGAAAACCCATCATCATCATCATCATCAACGATTGTTCGTGACGGGTAGTAGCGATGAGTGATTTTTTTTTTAGATTTGATTGATTGGTGGGTATGTGTGTTAGTCTCGCGGAAGATTTTAGCTACCTCCTCCCGGAATTCACGAGGATGCTGCGGCGATGATGTCCTTATCCCGAATCCCATCTCTTTGTCGAACTTTATTCTAAGATGTTTAACTCGTCGCGTTTCACACCTACCTACCTACCTACCCTCTCTATCCCTTTAAGAAAAAAAAAACGTGGGAAAATCGCCGTTTTTTTTTAAAAATATATTTTTTTATTTTATACGTTTTTTTTTTTTTTTTTGCGTAAAAATTACGCAATGCGTTGTTGTTGGCGTTTTTTTTTGTTAAAGTTCGTCTTTGAAATCTTTGATTCTTTTTAAAATGTGGAGGAGGAGGAGGAGGAGGAGGAGAAAATGTCGAACTTTTTTTTTTTTTTATATGTAATCTTTAATCGGGTTTTTCACATGAAATTATTTCTTTTTCTTTATTTCTTTCTTTTTCTTTTTCTTTCTTTCTTTCTTTCTTTCTCTCTTTTCCTCTAAATCATTGTTTTCATTTTTTTTTTTTTTTTTTACTTTCGAGTTCAAACGATTTTAAATCCCATCCGATTTCGGTCCGCGATCGGGATGAAAGGAAAAGTTTGGGAAAATTTTCTTTTTTTTTTTTTTTTTGACGTTTTGTACTTGCGATTGCGAAAGGATTAAGGGAAACATAAAAAAAAGTTTTTTTTTCCTTATTTCTCTCTCTCTCTCTCTTTCTCCTTCCCTCCCCCCTATGATTTCGACCAAAAAAAAAAAAATTAGATGTATTTATTTAATTATATTTTAACGGTTTTTGATTTCGAACAACAACAACAACAACAACAACAAAACGAAAGTTTGTAAATTGGAATTTTAATTTGCGAACAGAAGGAAAAAAAAAAAAAATTGCGTTTTTTTTTTTATTCATTTTATTTATTTGACCCAGTTACGGAACCTCGTCATTAGTGCCACTTTTTCTCTCTCTCTCTCCGCCCCCTTCCCCGCACTCTCGGTTTTTATTTGTTTTTCTTTCCCTTCCCCCCATCTCGCTTTTTCTTTCCGCGATTCGCGCCCCCTATTTTCGAAAAAGACGATGCGCGGCGTGGCTCCCTTTATTATTAGTAATAATAATGATGATATTTAATTTCAGGTGTCACATTCGGAGGGGAGCAGTTTAGCTCAACAATGGGGATGTCCCTTCATTGAAGCCAGTGCCAAACAGCGCACGAACGTTAACGAAATGTTTGCCGAAATCGTGCGCGAAATGAACTTCACGCCGGATAGCGAAAAAAAATCATACTGTTGTTGTATTCTGTTATAATGTTTAAATAGTATTAATTACGTCTTTTATTATTATTATTATTATTTTTATTATTATTATTATTATTATATATATTTTTGTATTTAATTATGAGATGAAGAGAATGAATAAGAAAAAGAAGAAGAAGAAAAAAAAATGAATAAAAGTATAATAAATATATATATGTATGTGAAAGAATGGGAGGAAAGGAAGAAAGAAAAAGAAAAAGGGATAGATAGATAAGGGAGGGATAAAGAAAAAAGAAGAAGGATAGAAAAGTTGAAGTTTAATCCGCGGTTATAACGGTTTCTTTTGGCAACAACAGGATCGCGATCGTGAAAAAGGAAAAAAAAAAAAAAAGGAAAAGGAAAATCATCAAGTATGTACGTTCTTTTTTTCTTTTTTTCATTTTTTTTTGTTTACATGGCGGAAAAAAAATTCGTTATTATCATTATTATTATTATTATCATTATCATTATCGTCGTTGTCGTTTTTTTTTCCCCGCCATTTTTTATTCGAAAATGGCGCGGCGGGGAAAAAAGAAAAGAATAAGAAATTATTTGTCTGCGAACGGTTGAAAAATATCAATTGATTTTTTTTTTTTTTTTTTTCGAAATGTGTCACACCTGTTGTCACGTGACCCGGTTTATTTATAACCGTTATGATCGCGATGATGATGATGATGACGGTTGACAACAGGACGAAACGGTGACAACGGAAACAAATTTTTTGGTCGTCACGTTGTTGGTACGCGTGTTTTTTTTCAATCGGTTTTATCGATCCCTTTTTTTTTTTTTATTAAATCGGGGGGAAACAAAATGGCGACCCTGATGTTTACAATAATTTTTTCGAAAAAAAAAAAAAAAGGAAAAACAAAATGGCCTAAAAAAATGAAATGAAACGATGATGAATACGCACAATTTAATAATCGTAGTCGATTAAATTTTTTAACCGTCCTTTTCCGGATTAAACATTTCTTTTTCGATCCTGTTTTCCGCGATTTAAATTCTAACCGACACGACACTTCCGGTTTCGCGCCATGATAATGATGATGATGATGATGAATCAAAAATATCGAATCCAATTTTAAATCTACTGTTTCGCGTTTTCACTTTTTGGTTTTTCCCTTTTCGTTAAATTTTCCAACGTGTTTTTCAATTTTTAATTTTTTTTTGAACTGCTTACGTCATCTCTACGTCATCATCATCGTGATCCTTTTTCCCTTTTTTTTTCCTTAATTTTTTTTTTTTTTTTTTTTTTTTTGTCGACGATTAAACAAGATGATGATGATGATGATGATGATATTTTCCTCATTATTATTATTATTATTATTCTCTCCCTGGAATTGTTTTCAATTTTTTTTTCTTTTTTTTGCTTCGTCATCGATAACGGATTTTTTTAAAAATTTCAATGTGGAAAAGAAGGAGTGAGGGAAAATGGGAGAAAAAGAGGGAAAAAGAGGAAGGGATTTTTTTTCCCTTCCGTTTTTCCCTTTCCGTTACTTTTTCTTTATCTAACGCGTATACATGTATATATTGAATATATTTTTCCGGGGAAATGAGTCGCGAAATGATTTTTATTTGGTTTCGAGAAAAAAAAAAAATTTTGTTTGTTTGTTTTGGTTGTCGTTGTTGTCGTTTTCGTTTAAATTTAAAACAATCGGCTCTGACACATTCCGTTTGTTTCTTTTTTTTTTTTTTTTTCATGGATTTGCACAAACGTCGTGCGTTTGTATGAATCGTCGGAAGAAAAAAAAAAAAAAAAAAGTAGTATGTTTTGAATAAACCGGAAGTCAATGAGAATAAATATGCGATACACACATAATATTTTTATTTTTTTTATGTTGTTGCCTTGCGTTTGTTTTTTTCTCCGTTTCCGGCGACTGTGAAATTCTTTGCGAGACTTTAAATTATCTTTTTTTTTTTTTTTCTTGTTTTTTCGTGAACGTGCGTGCGATTTTGTATTTATCCGAAAAATAAAAATAATAATAATGATAATAATGCAAGGTTGCCAAATGATGATTAAATTTCAACATCGTGTACAGGGTATAAAACTTTAGAAAAAAAAAAAAAATACGGAGATTGTTAAACGTTTTTTCATATGCGTTCTAAAAAAAAATTTTCTTTCTCGTAATTTTTCCTCTTTTATAAATAATTATTATTATTATTAATTCTAGTCGAATTTAATTTTCTCATACGGTATATGATGTGCCTGTACGGTATCGGTTGTACCTCCTACGAGAGGGGGGAGGGAGAGTGGGAGGAAGGAAGGGGAAGGACGTGTGTGCCTCCTCATTAAAACGATTTGGAAAAATTTTCTACTCTCGGAAAAAGAGATTTCAAAACGAGAAAAAGTGAGAAGAATTAATAATGATGATGATGATGATGAGATGGGGGAGGAGAGAAGTGAGGGGGCGATGGGGAGGAAGGGTTGTGAGAAAGAATGAAATAAAAATTTTTTAACTTTTTTTTCTTTTTCCTTCACCCCCTCACCCATGCTCAGACTTGATTTAAATTTTAATTTCTTTGAGTGTTTGTTTTTTTTCTCTCTCTCTCTCCCCCCCTCTCTCTCTCTCTCTCTCTCTCTCTTTCTCCGTTTCGTTCTTTAAGTTGAAATCATCATCATCATCATCATTCGCGAACGGTCGTATCGCTAACATGTCTGAAAAGAAAATTTACGTTCTTCCCCGTGTAGCCATACCGCATACACTCACACCTTCCCTCTCCCTCCCTCATAATTGCCTTCGAGTTTATTATTTAATTTTTCATAGAGATAGTCAACAGGTTTACCAACTATTAAAAAAAAAAAAGAGAGACAGAAAGAGAAAGAAGAAAGATGAGAAAGAAAAGAGAATGCTTTTAAAAAAAAAAAAAAATTATCCTTCCCGTTTTTTATTATTATTATTACTATTAAGTGTACGTTTCGATTATTAATTATTATTATTATTATTTTCGTCGAATTTATTATTATCATTATAATCGTTTTCGAATGCGAACGCGTGTAGTTTTGCGTTTGTTTGTTTTTCCATCCGTTCGGGCGTTCCTTTTCTATTTCCGTTCGACAATCTCCGTATAAATTATTTTTAAAAAAATTGCGTTTATCATTTTTTTTATTTATTTATTTATTTGGCAATCTATTCGGGGCATATCTTTCGACTTTTAATAAATTAATAAATAAATAAATAGAAAAAAGAAAATTATTTTTGTAAAAGGGAAAAGAAAAATTTTTTTTTATATATATATAAATTAATTAAATCCGCCATATTTCTTTTTTATCTTTCCTCCGATCCTCCGTTAATAATTATTTTATAAACAGTAATAATTTTTTTTTTTTTTTTTTTTAAATTGATGTTGGTACGATTGATTGATTATTTTCGATTGGTGTTTATATTTTATTATTATTATTATTATTAAAATTTTTTTTATATATATATATATTTATATAAAGCTCAAACGAATTTTTTTTTTAAATTTAAATTTAAATTAAAATTTTTATTTGTTGTGTATTTTTTTTTTTTTTTTTTTTTTTTTTTTGTATTTAGGAAAGAAAGTCGAGAGAGAAAGAGAGAAAGGGAGTGAGAAAGAGGATGAGAAAGAAAGAGAGAGAGAGAGAGAGAGAAAGAAAAAAAAAGAAAAATTATACCTGATAATATACGAGTCTTAATTGTATAATAATAATTAATTAATGGATTATTTTTATTTATTTATTAATTAGAAACCTTTTCCTATGACGCAAAAAAAGGTGAGTTGTATTATCATTATTATCATTATCATTATTATTATTTAATAATTTTTTTTTTTTTGTAGTTTATAGAGAGAGAAAAATAGATGCGTGTGAGTTTGTTCGCGAGTTTTATATATAACAATAATTGTCGCATGCGTTATAAGATTGTTTATACCTACGTCATCACTACGTCATCACATTCACACGTTTATTATGGCGGGTAAGTTTTTTTTATAATAATAATAATACAAAATGGCGGAAATGATTGAAGAATATTTAAAAAAAAAAAAAAAAAAAACATTCACACGGTGATGTTAAAAAAAAACCGGATGGAAAATAAAATGAAATGAATTTCAATAAATAAATATATATATAAATTATCGTATGTCGACTTCGATATATCGATTTTACCGTTTTAAATCGAACGAGAGGAAAAAAAAAAAAAAAAAAAAAAAAAGAAAAGACCTTTAAAAAAAAAAAGACTTGTTTAAACTATTCCGTGTAATTTACATACGTTCATGGTTCCGCCATTTTGTTTTTTTTTTTTTTTTTTCGTATAAATTATAACGAATTTAAATAACTTGTAATTATAATGACGTCATTCGAATTTCGTCAATGCAAGTTAAAACGAATCGATTTACATGTTTAAAAAAAAAAATTATTATCATTATTATTATTATTATTCGTTCATTCATTCATTTATTTATTATTATTATTATTATTATTATTATTATTAAAATTAAAATGGCCGTAAAAAAATTTACGAGAGATCTAAATATTTATTTATTTATTTATTAATTTTATTTGAAAATTTCAATGAGTTAATTTGAATGTATCACGGTTTCCAGAAGAATGTTCTTTCGAAACCGTTACAAATTACACGGTTTAATAATAATAATAATAATAATAAACAATGCCAAAATAATTTTGAATAATAATGATAATGATAATAAAATCAAGTTGGTTTTTTTTTCGGATGATGATATGAATGGAAATAATAAAATTGTAATCGTTAAAAAAAAATGGAGGGAAATAAAAAAAAAAAAAAAAAATTTAACAACTCAACCGGAAATGGTAATAATAATAATAATAATAATAATAATAGTGATAAAACCGTGTCATCATCGAATTTTATCGTTCGACCGTTAAAATTTTTTTTTTTTTTTTTTTTTTAAGTGCGAAAATCATTTTTTAATAAAATTTTTTTTTTTTTTTTATATGCTTGACCCCGGGGGTCAAATATTTTATCATCATCATCATCGTCATTTTTTCTACCGGAAATTATTCCTTAAACGGTG